TTCGTCTTGACGCTGGCCTCCCGAGGCAGGAGCCGCAGCGAGCGGCAGGGAGGACGAAGTCCCTGAGCCTCGTGCGTCAAACAGAAGAATTTCCGTAATCAGTGAGGTGACGCTCATCTCCTCCGCTGCAGTAGCTTTGCAATAGGGAAGACTGTACGTGGCAAGTTTAATGTTTCCATTTGCAAATGGGTGGCTGGCATGAGCAGCTTCTCAGTGAAGACGGTGTCCAAGTAGATGCAGTCAGATGCACCATGTGTTACCTGAGAGCTGCTGGTGATAACTCAGTCATTTCTGAGTGTGAGCCTGCACCCCAAAGCTAGGGATAAGAGGTTTGTGTCTGAGCTGTGCCTGGCTGATGCTTTCCCAGGGTGAGTCAAAGGGCTTGAAGCATGGCTGTCTCTGTGCTAGGAAAGGGAGAGGGAGTGTTCCTGTCTTTATTGATTGTAAAGAATTTATCTTGAATATTGTGAGCAGGCGTGAGAGACTGACTTTAAAATAACTTCATTGTATTCTTGGGTTTTAATTTTGGTATTGATGCGATCTAGCAGGCGATGCTGGCTAGAGTACTAGAAACCAATTCCTCCCAGTGATGAGACGAGCATTATTTTTACTTTGGCTGGCTCTTGTACTGTGTGTGAGGTCTGAAGTACTGTAACCTGCTAGATCAGCAGAAATACATCCAGAGACAGCAGCTCCCTGCCTGGCCCTCAATCTGCCCAAAGAGAATATGGCTTTGTACAGACTGTGCAGTGAAACCCTCACAACTTGCACAAGGTTCTTGTGCCATACCTAAGGCACTCGTGCATATCCAAACCACAAGTAAAAAGCATGGCTGAAATCAGTCAAACTTCATAGGCTTGTTCCTTAGCAGAAGGGTAATTGCAGCAGAGGACAATATGTTCTTAATTAGCGTTGTTCTTGGGGACACCTGAATGGATACTCCTGCATTCTCATCCAGCCATACTGTTTGTGACACAGTGCAAAAAATTGCTGCTTTTTTTGGTTGGTTGGGGTTTTTTTTGGTTGGTTTTTTTTTGGGGGGAGGGTTTCCCAACAAGAGGAAAAAAGTCTTTAACCCTGGTTGCCAGTTCCTGCTCCCAGCTGTGCCCACAACTGAACAGGAGAATGTGGCTTGCATCAGTAATAAGTTGTCCATATGACTTTCAGATTAATCTAGAGCATCAGGCTGGTTTTATTTCCTTGCACAACTCTTAACCACAGCTGGTAGGAAGCAGCATGTACCTCTGCCCTATCCTGAGCACCATGTGGTATTTATGGCTGTGCTTGAAGAAGGAAAAAGCCCAAACCCCTTGGCAGCAGCAGGCACGGCACCTCCCTCGAGCAGAAACTTGCTCTCCCATCGGCGCGTCCGCTGTAGTGCTCCTCGGCAGCGGCTGGGTTCAGCGAGAGGGGCTGTGCTCAGTAGAAGCAGCGGCTGTCTATGCCAAGGTGCAGCACGATGGACTGCCTGGGAAGTCAGCAGGGAGCAGAAGGCCAGGTCCTTGGATTTTGCCTCTCTTCGCTCCCTTGGCCAACAGGGCTGCGTGTCGTGAGCGAGGAGTTTACATGGGGCCCCTTGTAGGCCAATCTGGAAAATATCAGAGTCTCATTTAGTTACCAGGAGCAGCAGTTCAAAGCCTTTCTGGCTCACAGACAGCCTGTGAGCCAAATATTCTGGGATGGAGCTTGGTTTGTGATGCATCCCAGGTGTCCTTCAATGGCTGTTGGAACAGGGGGGCTACAGATGGGAAAATTCTCCTAATCTTACCCCTATTGATTCTCCAAGAACTATTCTCTCCATACCAAGTTTCTCTGCCATCCTCTCTTGACTCCATGTTCTCTTCCTCTGCATGAAGAATCATGGGGCAAAAGGGCAGCCTTTAAGGAAGCAGAAATACTAAAGGGAAACTCCAGAAATCAAGAGCAATACGAGATGAAACTGGCTGCATTGCAAATGCCATCATCCAGGCTGGGTTGCAAGATCTCCCTGTGCAGCTGGAGCTCTTCAGGGCAGAGCAGCACCTCTTGCTCTGTCAGACAGCTGCTGTCTTGCTGAGATTGTTTGGATGCCTGTGGAAGCTCATGTCTGATATGACGGAAGAGTTTGCTGCTTATTTCCTCCAGTTTGGCCAATTCTATTGCACAGGTGGCCCCATCATCTCAAAGCACAGACTTGCTGTCTGTGATGTGTCTGTGCAGAGCGGGACCATCTTGGACAGTTTGCGTGTACCAAGCCAGATCTCAGCAGGTCACTGGGTGCCTTGTGCTGAGCTTGCAGTGCTCTTCAGAGGGGAGAGTAAAAGAGCCCCAGAGCTGACTCTGGTGTAGCTGCTGTGTGGATGGAGGGGGAAAGGGTTACAGCAGAATGGGCTTTAGTCCTCTGAGAGTTATTAATGGGACATGTGGTGCCACAGGGTTGAGGCTGTGGAAGAGGGACAAGGTGCTTTAAGGCTTCCAGGCAGACCAAAGTTCAGCTGCACAGTGAAATCGTGAAACCTTCATCCAGCATCTTTTCTGCTGTGAAGAGTTTTTCAGTCTGGTGGCAAGTAGTCCTAGCAGGTCTGGAGCTGCCTTCCTGTTTCTCCGCATTGAAATAGGCACCCAGATTCCCTCCTCACAGGGGTCTCCACTCTCAAAAAAAAAAAAAAAAAAGAGAGGTCCCTAGAGACTTTAATGGCTAGATAAAGCCAAGAGAGAAAGCAGTAAAGAAGTCTGTTAAAGTTGGGAATCTCACAGGAAGGAGCGAGAAGAAACCTCACTGTCAGACTTCCCTGTCCCCTCCGTGGCACACTGAACACCCATTGCTTTGTGCGGACCTGCAGTGTTACCTGGAGCTATCGCTGCGTTTGGGACAGCCAACAACTGACCCGAACAGTCCTTGTCAGTGGGAGCAGCTGAGTTTTACTCCTTATCTGAAGACCCAAAAGACTACTAAAACTTTACTCTCCCTAGCTTCTCTGGTGCAGGATCCCGAGCAAAGTCAGGGCACATGGAAGGGAAGAGAGTGTGTTTCGCTGTGCTGTATGGCCCTCGCTGGGGAGATGAGACCAAAGCGCTCTGTGTCAGCTTTGCATTAAGCACTGGTGGCCTTCAAGAATGCAGTTACCTTTCTGACAATTATATGTCTGTCCACAAGCAATTTGTAGTAACCTTTCACAGTATAATTTAGTTCTCCTCTGTATTTACTGTTCTTTGAAGTACCTGTGACAAATTCATGCTGCAGTGAACTGATGATTTCTCCTTCCTAGGTGAGACTGGCATTGGGAAATCCACACTAATGAATACCCTCTTCAATACCACGTTTGAGACCGAGGAAGCCAGTCACTATGAGAGCGCAGTTCGCTTGCGGCCACGGACCTACGACCTGCAGGAGAGCAATGTCCACCTGAAGCTAACGATTGTGGATGCGGTTGGATTTGGGGATCAGATAAATAAAGATGAAAGGCAGGTCTCGTGCCATCTGCTTGGCATTTCTGGGCTTGGCTCTGATGTTTAGATGTGAACTGCCTGCAGTCCTGCTTGCAGTGTTGCAGCAGAGGTGTCTGTGTTGCTGTTAATGGAATAGCTCCCTGCAGTGGCTCTGGTTCGGGGTCTGAGTGTAGGGGGGAGTTGGGTGAGGACCCAAAAAGAGATGTCATATGAGGTCTTTCCAGTAGAGAATGGTGTCCTCCAGGAGTGTGAGCAGTTGACGAGCTGTCCTCAGTGCAGGGTTGGGAATTATCTGTTCTGGCAGTGATTGGTGTCTCTGGACCTGTCTCATTTAATTACACAGACATCTTGCTCAAGCCCCAGGTAAAGGCTTTCTGGGACTCCAAGGTCTCTCCTTGGTCATGTTGCATTGCTACAGCCAGGTGGCTCAGCCCCGAGATCTTGGCAAAGTTTTATCTCTGGAAGTAGTCATCTTTCCGTGCTTCACTGTCCTTAGACTGCAGTGCAGCCTCAGGACACTCCAGCAACCTTTGGATTATAAGGTCTGTGTGTAAATGCCATGCTTTTCCTGTTGTAAGGCTAAATTGTTTGAGTCTTATCACTACTTTTTAAATGATACCATGCTATGTCGAGGAGAACTCCTTAAGCCTTCAAACTGTTTAATTTTGAGCGCCAGTATCTGGGTTGCTAATGGTATGGTTTTAGTTACAGGCCAATAGTTGAGTACATTGATACGCAGTTTGAAAATTATTTGCAAGAAGAGCTGAAAATCCGCCGATCTCTCTTCAACTACCATGACACGAGGATTCACGTCTGCCTGTACTTCATCACCCCGACCGGGCACTCGCTCAAGTCCTTAGACCTGGTGACAATGAAGAAGCTGGATAGCAAGGTAAGGGGTTGGAGACCATGGTCCCTCTTTCTGGAAGTGGTGATGCTTCTGTTAATATTGATTGTCATGTGGGAGGATTTGTTCCTTCTGTGTAAGCGCTGGAGTCCTTCCTGCACATTAGCTGAGCCATATTTAGGACTCTGGTAGAACTTCACCTGCCCTGGTGGGTTGCTAGGTCCTGTGCTTTTTTTCTTACTGGCTTTCCTGAAAAAAGTCAGGTGAAAAACCTGTTTTCCAGCTAGCTGTGTGAAGTCTAGAGTGTCCATTGCTGTAAGAATCTTACCCAGATTAGTTCGTGTTTATCAAAGCTATCAGCTGCATCTTTATTAGCAATTCTTTACAGGTGTGCAGGTAAGGATGTGTTCCAGCTCCTGCAGTTGAACTGTGGAAACTGTGGGGCCACCTCTGCTGTCCTGACCTGTTACCAGGAACAGAGGGACTGAGAGGAACCAAAATTGTAGATGTCCTAAGGTGTGATCAGTACAGAGGAGACAAGGGCTGAAGAGAAGCGTTGTCTGTGCACGCCGGCACACAGGGAGTACGTGAGCTGTTGGTGCTGGTAGTGCCAGATGACCTAGACAGCAAATCACAATATCTGATGAAAATGTAAATATGGTGAGAAACTCTCAAGGTCATAGGAATCTTAAAAGTGGGTCATGAGAGGGTCTAGCTGGGGGGTTGCCGCTTTGTGCGTAAGCTGCTACTGCCTCGGGGGGCGGTGGGTTACTGAACTGGCTACCGCTGATATTCCTGCAGCTTGGAGAAGGTTCCTGACACACTTCTGGTTGTTCCAGCTGGCTTCCAGGGAGCTGCAGGAGGCATCAAAGGTCACTGCTGTCAGCAGCATCTCTTTTCTTAGCAAGAATTTCCTGTCTTTTCAGAGCAGTATTTTAGCAGCAAGGTGGTTCCTTTCAGATGGCAGATGCTGATCAGTCTGCAGAGGGGCAGGTGAGGCAGTTGGGACCCTGCAGTACCCCAGGATGCCCTGGATTACATTTAGGGAATGCTTTCTTCTCTGGCTGTTGTCCAGGTGCAGGTCTATCTGACTTCCCTGGTGGGTAGAGTTCCCCCTCGCCGCGTCCCTGCTGTTTGCCCTTGCCACCCGGGGCTGTTGGTCTGCTTTTCCTTGGCCCCACTCCAGAGCAGGCGCTGCCTTCCCATTGCAGTGGGGTGTAACCGTGGTGGCTGTTACACTGCCTTCATCAGGAATCTGAAAACTTTCCCTTAATAAACTCTTGTCTCTTGGGCCTGTGCCAGCATTACGTGTTCCCAGAAATATGTTTGGAGGAAAGCTGTTGCACGATTCCCCTTGGCGCTGGTGGTCCCACAAAGCTTTTCTCTTCCTTCTGCATTCCCTACTTTTCACATCTCCCCGTGGCTGCCTTTAATGTGGTCCTTGAGTAGTACCAAAATAAATCCTTTGTACTTGTGCAGAGATGGGAACTTCGTGTGCACACAAGCTTTTTATACTTCTAAACTTCCACTTAAAATGACTTCAGAGAGGACTATTTATCCCTTTACGCTCATCTTTCTTCCTACCACAGCCTGAGAATATCTTGGATTTCATCGTGTGGTGGCTTTGCAAAGCATGCACGTGGAAATGAATAAGCAAGTAGAGACCATTGATATTTTCTGGGTGTCAGGAGTTTATGTTGTATTTCTGCATCAGTGTCATCTCAGGACATCAAGGTGCTTTCCAGGCACTCCTCAAAGATTTGTGTGTGACAGTGCTGTGCCCCTTTCTAGTACATGTCAACCACTTGTGCCCGGGGGCTGGCACGTGCGCAGGGTGAAGTGGGGTGTCAGCAAACCCCAGGCAGCTTTCTGTCCGCTCCAGACTGGTAACAGCGAGTGGTTACCGTAGCTAAGCAGAGGAGTGACGTGCACTGACTCACGTCCACAGTCGTGCAAGCACACCTGAACCTGACTTTCCCTTGGGAAGGCTTTACGTGGCTGGTGGCCCCTACTTTACAGTTGAAGAGTGGAGCCCATGGAAACAGGAGGTGTACCGGAGGCGACACTTTGCTGCGTGCTCTGCTGGCTCAGGCTCTCAGACTAGTTTAACACGGGGTTTGTAGGAACCTGGCTCAGTTACACCTTCGCTTTAGCACACCGTTGACATGGCATCGGGTGTTGGGCAGGCTTTTGAATCTGTGCGACAATTTCAAGAATGAATCTTGCTTTTAGCGTAAAGTTTACAGAATCCCTTCTGGGTAAAGCTGTCTGGTAAACAAACTCTTTCCTTGTACTGTAATACAGTGCTTGTTTGGCTGAGCTCATGGCCAGCTGTTGTCTGGGGTATTTAATTACAGCCAGAGAGCTAGAAGCATCTTCAGAAGTGGTTTTAGGTAGATGAAATGTGGCTGGCTGGGAGGTGGGAAGCACATGTGACCTGGCAGGGGTTGGCTTTCCATTGGATTTAACCTGGGGAAAGGAGGAGATAAATAAATAAAATAAATAAAATTGCATCTGTATCAGATGAGAAGGAGATTTATCGATTTAAAGCGCAGCCCTGCCCCGGACAGTGCCGGCAGAGCTGTGTGCGGCCATGGGCATCCCGGGGCTGCCTGCTTGGTGTCCCTGGCTGGTTTCCAGTCAGCGTGTGCTGTTTACGAGCTGTGGCTAATTGCTCGCCCTTCGTGAGCTGACGCATCCTGGGCGGGTCACTGGCCAGTGGAGATGCTTCGGGTCGGTTTGTGCCTCTGCTGTTTGGTTTTCGAGGTAGGATTTGCCTGTTGGCTTTACTGGAACTTGTGTTCAGGAACACTTTGGAGATGGGGAAAAATCCAGCTGTATTTCACAGGGTGAAAATGCACAAAACCTTATTATGTTAGCAAAATTATTTTCTACCAGTTGACCTCTTTCAGCACATTCTTGTAAGTTTTATTTTCGGAGATGAGAAATAACTCTGTGGTCAGAATGACTTGGGAAGGAGGTGCATTCTATGTGTGTGCATGCCAGTTCACTGCCTTGTCTGAATTTATTATGAAATCATAATAAAAACAGTAATAACTTAAAAAACTTAAGGAACTCACAGGGGAAGAAGAGAAATGAGGGAGATACACCCAAACGCCATTTCTAGGACTTCACGGTATTGATGTTGGCTATTGATTACTGGAAATACAACAACTTGTAAAACCCTTTTGGGTGTTGACCTCTGTGACAGCAGGTGCTGGCTGAGTTGCCTTTTCAAAGCATGAGGAACCTGGTTGGAGGGGACTTGAACCAACCTCGATTTGCACCTTGTCCGAGTCCTGCCGGGGCAGCAGCTGTGACCACAGAGCCTGTCTTCGGCTGCTGGGAAAGCCGTGCCAAGCTCCAGGCTCTGCACCTCCTTGGAAGAAGAGGGGAGAATTGCTTAGGCCAACTGAAAATGGACTAAAATCACCTCTTTTGCTGGTTTGTTGGTGTGCTGCTGCACACAGCAGCTCCCTGGCAGTGCCTTCCCCCCACAGATACCACTCCTGGGGGGGGTACTTGAGCCCTGAGCTCACCCTTTTTCTGAGGGAGATGGCGGATCCTGCTCTTAGCAGGTCAGCGAGGCACCCAGCTGTGGTCATGGCCCTTTTTATCTTTGTAATGAGGACATTGACCTGCTGAGGAGTGGAGTGAGCAGCAGACCTTGTTCTGTACGGGTTTGTGGTCCTTGGTAAAAGAGGCCACATCAGTGGCTGAGAAAAAGAAGGAATTTATCCTCTGAGATAAATTTGCAATGAGCAAATTAAGATGATTTTCTTTTGGAGTGAGTAAATCCTCTTGTATTTAGTGAGTGCTAAACCAGAGGGGGCAGGAAAAACAAGAAGTATGGAAAAAACATTGAGCTACAAAGAGAACTTGAGCTGGGAAAGCAAGGTCATTTATTTTAATGGGCACCCATTGGAGACCAAATGGCTGCTATGAATTTCTGCTCTGTAGGACAGAAAGCTGTTGGGAAATGTTAGATGGTAAATCAGACTTTCCCCTCATTTGTCTGAATTCTTGTGTTTTACTGCTATGAATTTGGCTGCTGTTCAGACAGACGAGTGTTGTTGTTGTTTGTTTAAGCAGTGGTTTGCAGTATTGCACTTGGCTTTTCTGGGTAGAGCAGCGTTATCTAATAGAGGTTCCTGTGACAGATCCTGCCCTGCTGTAGCTCTCCTGAGCACGGGGTCATAGCGAACCACATCCCTCCTGAAGGATGGGGGATGTGGCCCTCGCTGGCTTTAGATCTTCGCGGGTGCTGGGCACAGGGGGGGCTGGTGAAGCTGCACGGTGTGTTGTGGTCGGTGACTGCTGATATGGAAGCAAAGCTGAGCAAAAAGAGGATGAAAACAAATCTCTGATCCGCTGTGCGGCACCCTGCACCTTTCCCAGGCGGTCCGTGTAATCCGCACGGCACGCCCGAGTTGTGATCCTTTCGGAGAGGCTCAGGGAGTCCTCAGAAAGGATCCGCAGCTGCTGCAAAAGTGTCTGAGCAGTCCCTGCTCCTTCTGTTTCAGCTTGGGGAGGCTTCGCAGCAGCTTGCTGCAGTGTTTCATCCTTGCGCTTGTCTTCTGAAACGGCCTGTCAGCACAGCCAGAAGCGGACAGGTGATAACTCAAGACGTGACAGTTACGCTGTCTCTGCCTCCCTCGAGGCGTGTAACAAAATACATAGGTGAGAGCAGCGGCTTTGATCTGCTCGTTGTGTATTTATTGCAGGATGTTTGTCTTCGGTTTATCTAGAAGCCTTGTAGCCAAATTAGTCCTGGAAAACTCTTCCCTCTAGCGTTCAGCTGGGCTTGTGCTGCAGCTCGCATGCAAAACATAGCACCTTTGTGGTTATATGAAATGTAAAGCAGCCATCGGGGCAGGACCCAGGTCACCCCGCGGGCACCCATGCTCCCGACGGAGCTGCTTTGCCTGACTGATTCTCATCCGGTTGTTTTTCCTTCTTTCCATCTGCTGTAGGTGAACATCATCCCGATTATTGCCAAAGCAGACACCATCTCCAAGAGCGAGTTGCACAAGTTCAAGATAAAGATCATGAGCGAGCTGGTCAGCAATGGCGTGCAGATTTATCAGTTCCCCACAGACGACGAAGCAGTTGCCGAGATCAACTCTGTGATGAACGTGAGTAGCGCTGCCAATCGCATTGCCTCCAGAGTTGTGACAAATTAAACTGCTGCACAAAAACGCACTTGAAGGGCAAATTTCATTCGGATTGTCCAGACGCTAAAAGCTGTTTGAAAGTTGAGCTGTAGATCTGACAGACGCCTAAGGCTGTTGCGTACAGAATTAATTAAAATGTGGCTCTTATTTAATCTGTGGGCTCTCTGGAGAAACTCAGTTCTAAAATTTGTTTTATTGAATTTTTGAAAAATATTTTCTTCAAAATTCATTCTGTCTGCTTTTAGGCTACTTTTCATTTGAGGAGAGAGAAACTTTGAATACAAATTTTACAGTTAAGATTTACATTAGCCTTCTGACTTAAGGAGACTAAGCAGAGAAAACCCAATTTAAAATAAAAAAGACTCTATTTTGTCTTTTTTGAAATCCCAAGATCAAATTCAGATGTGGCTGAAGCATATGCAAAACACTTCCAAGTTTCCTGTCTCCCAAATCAGAGTGCAGCTATTGCAGTAGAAACAGCTGAAATGTTTCCATGTTAATCTTTTAAATAAAAAGTAGCTTTTTCATCACTTTCCTGCATAGCTGTCTCTGATTAAATGCTTTGTCTTCCCTGCTTTCTTTTTTTTTTTATTTCAGTAGACAGTTGATTCCTGGCTCAACTAGATATGTGTTTTAACTATAATAGTTCTTTAGTTCTTTTTTGCTGAATTCATGAAAAATTTGGAGGATGCACTCTTTTTAAAATAATTGTAAGCTGTGTGCATTGGAGGAAAAAAAAAAAAAGATTTTTGGCCACTTCTCTACCAATTCCACACCTCTGGATCCATTTCTTCTTAAATGTGAAGGATTCTGTCAACCTTGTCCTACTGAAGCGCCTGCTCCGTGGCTCCTCTCCTGCAGTGCCTGAGGACGGTGCCCTGTTTCTGTACTGCGCTCGATGCTTTGCAGACTTGGAGAGCAACGAGCACATGTTGTATCCCGCACGTGTCCCCTGCCGTGCCCACACACAAACTGCTGTGCCAAAGCTTCTTTACGGATGTCTTTGCTTGTGCTTTCTGCAAGGCAGGGAGTGCCCGCTCTTGGTGTGCGGAGAGACTACAGCTGCAAGAACAACCTGATACACGGGCAGAGGGAGCTCAGTAATGATCATGGTGTTCCTACAATATTTCCCTGTCTAGCTCAGTGCAGCCAGCATTGCTAGTAAGCTGTGCTACGGCCCTACGCTGCTCTCTGTTGTAGTATCCCAGCTCATAGTAGAGGCTGCTCTGAGTATTGGAGACTGCTAGCTGCAGAGGAAGGACTTTTTGAAGTAGATCCTGTGCCTGGGTGAGGGGGACCCACTGGTCAGGAGGATCTCTGCGGGGTTAGCCCATGCCCTGAGTCCCTGGCCTTGGCTCTGTTTCAGGCTCATCTGCCCTTTGCTGTGGTCGGCAGCACGGAGGAGGTGAAAGTCGGGAACAAGCTGGTGAGAGCTCGGCAGTACCCGTGGGGAGTGGTGCAAGGTAAGGGCTGGGAGCCAGCTGCCCGCCACAAACCTCCCTTGTGCGTGCGCACACCAGCACCCTCTCCAGCTCTGCCCTCCTGCCAGCGCGTGTGCACGAAGGTGCTAAATGGTGCAGAAACGTCCTGTGCAGCCTTTTGTGGGTTGGACGATCTTTCCTTTGAATTCCCGTTCCTACCAGCAGGTAGTAATGGTCGATGGGAATATCCTCGTCCAAGGGGCTGTGTTGTGTCCTGTGTGGGACAACAGGTAGAGGCGCCTGGGAGGGGAGGCTCTGGAGTGAATGTCTGTGGGTGTTTGGGCTGCCCTGCCATGCCTGCGGTCTGCTGATGTCTCCCATTGCTTACGTCAGTGGAGAATGAAAGTCACTGCGACTTTGTGAAACTGCGGGAAATGCTGATTCGAGTGAACATGGAGGATCTTCGGGAGCAGACTCACACCCGCCACTACGAGCTGTACCGGAGGTGCAAACTGGAAGAGATGGGGTTCAAGGACACAGATCCAGACAGCCAGCCCTTCAGGTGAGCAGCCTTCATGTCTGGCATCAGTCTAGAGCAATAGTTTGGTAATGACACCCCAAAAAATGGGAGGTGTGGAGGTGGTATCCACAATGGTGGGCTGGAAAATATCAGCACTGGGTTTGAACTTTGCAGCCGACTTTGGCATTCCCTTCCCTGCCTGTTTGTCTTTCAGCAACACACAGGCGTGCGTTTCCCCATCACTAACTCATTGGTGTCCTAAGAGTCTGGATTTCGTTTGCTTTCTTCCCCAGCCTCCAAGAAACGTACGAGACCAAGAGGAAAGAGTTCTTGGGTGAGCTCCAGAAGAAAGAGGAAGAAATGAGACAAATGTTTGTTAACAAAGTCAAGGAGACGGAGGCAGAGCTGAAGGAGAAGGAGAGAGAGGTGGGTGTGCCAGAAACCTGTGAGAGGAGCCCAAAATACAGCCAGCATAGGATCTGGGTCTGGGCAACGTGTGAATCCTGGAAAGCACATGCGGCTTTTAAGCAGACCTCACCAGCCAAAGCACACACACGTGTGCACACAGACACACACACCTTCCTCCACTCAGAGGAACTGGGTAATGTTTTTAAAACAGTATGGCAGGTTTAGGTGCCTCACAAACAACAGTCTTGCCTGTCCTGTGCAGCGCGTAGGAGACTCGGCTGCTGCTTGGTGAGTGAAGGGCAACGCAGGATGTTTTGGTGAGCGTCCGCCCCAGGTAGACTTCACCCCGGAGGCTCGCTGGACAGCAGAGCGAAGGGGGCAGCTGGGCTGGAGTCCCCCAGGTCACTGGTGTGAGGCCACGGGCAGCTGCCGTGACTGGGGAGGAAATAAATGGACCATCCTCAAAGCTAGTGAGGAACAAGAGTCCATGATGCCCACAACCCCCTTTACAAGGCTGCAGACTGAGCTGAGACCCTCAGGGCACGTATCCAGGGCTCACGCTTTCTCCTGGTTTGATACGTGGTGTCAGGCAGAGCTGAATTTATTGTCTCCCCTGCTTTTGGTGAAGAGGCTGTGACTGCCCAGAGGTCAGCTCTGCCGAGGGGCTTGCGCGCTGCAGGGGCACTGCCGTACCCTGCCAGATGCTCGGTCTCTGTAGGGTGGTGGGGATTTGTGCGGCTCCGGGGGGAGTGGGGCAGAGGGAGCGCAGCCTGGCGCTGTGCCGGATGCGATGCTCAGAGGGTCTGTCTCCTCCCAGCTGCATGAGAAATTTGAGCACTTAAAAAGGATACACCAGGAAGAGAAAAGGAAGGTGGAGGAGAAGAGGAGGGAGCTGGAGGAAGAGATGAACGCCTTCAACAGGCGGAAAGTAGCGGTGGAAACCTTGCAGTCCCAATCCTTGCAGGCTACCTCACAGCAGCCGCTGAAGAAGGACAAAGACAAGAAAAAGTAAGTGACTGGGCTCGAGTCTTGTTCTCCTCTGCCACCGGGAAGCTGGGTGTCTGCTTAGATGCTTTAATGTTTGTGCAGTTGCTTGGAGGGCAAATGGAAAAGGGGATTTTGGAATCCTAATTCCTGCCCTTCTGAACTCTTTGCCTAAAGCCCTGGGGAAGCGGCAGGTGGGAGGGATCCACAGTTTGAGGCCGTTGTCTGAAGGCTGCGAGTCCCGCGGGGTTTGCCCTTGCCTCAAGTGATCCCGTGAGCCGTCTGCTCCTGGAGACAGATGGGAAGGTGACTGGAAATAAGCTGCGTCCTCTCCCCAGTGAGAGGAGTGGGGCCGATCTTGACACAGTCATAATGTCTTGCAGAGGAGGTCCCCTGTCATGCCCTACCTCACTGTGATCTGTGGGCTTGGGGCTCTCCTTGGAGAGTGCGCTTACTGTATTTTTCAAGGCAGAGCTTAGAGTGAAGATGCATTGGAAATTCATTAGGGCTCCAAGACACAGTTCTGATTACGAGAGAGCTCTTTTCCCCTAAAGGCAGAATTCTTAGCTTGCTGCAAGTTAATTGACGTTGCTGAAGCCAGCAAGAGTGTGGAGCGATGGTGTATAAATAATGCTCTTTCAGCTGCCTGGTTGTGTAATGATAGAGCAGAAATGGGGCAAACGGGTTAAAAAGAAAAGGTGTATGGGGGTGATCCTGCTCCATTCAAGCCAGTCTTCAAGGAGCACTGGCTATAGGGAGCAAAATGGGAAGCGCCATCATAGAAGCTGGTAATTCTGTTATTCCAGCACTTTTGTACTTCACCTTGCGTGAAGGGAGCTTAAGAGTCTGAAGTGCATTCTGTCAAATCCAGAGCAGGCTGGTGGCAATGCCTTCTGAGCCTTTTAATGATGCAAAATAAAAAAGAACTTCAAGAGTAGCAACATCTGAGTTTGCTCTTGGCAGCACGACATTCGGCTTCACATTGTTGATGAGATCTTGTGCTGTCATTCCTCTGCTGTGAACCGCAGCAGTGAAGAAGCTCATTCTGTGTACTGACACGCTAGTAATTTGTTCCTTCCTATGGAAGTGTGTATTATTTAACGTATTTCCCTGGAATGTAAATGCGTTGGCGTGAAAATGAAACCAAAGCGCATTCTACTGCACGCCTCTCGGCATGCTCCGGGCATGTCCCACCTCACACACAGAGTCCAAAATGGTTTGTAAAATATTTTGCTGAAAATAGTTTACTCCGGCTAAACTCACGCATGAATTAGGGGCTGGATAGTGGGGCAGCCTGGGGCCCAGGTCTGCTTTGAAGAAGGTGAGCACACTGAGCTGCACGCTGTTAATTGGCGTGAGCGATGCCGGTGGCTGGGATGCTCCGACGGCGACGTACTCTGTGCGCTGGCCAGGCGGAAACGCTGCAGCTTCCCCTCTGCTCCGTCTGTCTGAGAGAGAAATAGGTTTCCTGCGCTTTGCTGGTTTTAGCCCACCTGCAGATGTGAGTCCGGACGCCCTTCCTCTTCTGGGTGGTGATTAGAAACCGTCTGCGGTCAGAAGCGGGGCTGGGAGAAGGCAGCTCGGGAGGCGTGCGAAGGGCTGAGGGGCACCCACAGAGTCTGCTCTGCGTGCTGGGGACTCCCGCACGGTGCTGGGGCCAGGGCGGGCTCTCTTCAGGTCCCGAGCATGGCTAGAGGAGGTGCGCTGTCACCGGGAATAGAATTAATAAATTAGGAAGAGGAAGTGGCTTTGGATTGGGGTTTGGGGTTTTTTTATTTTTTTTTTTTTCCCCCCCCAAACCTGTGAGCTAGTTCAAAATGTGGTATTTTGGGGTTTCTGCTCAAGCACGATAATGAAATTTGTAATAAATTCAAAGGA